ACCGGCTGGCAGAAACCCTGGTGGCAAGAACTGGCAAAAACTGGCTAAAACTTAGATGGCCAAACCTACAACTTTTCTAGTTAGGAATGGATTTGAAATGTACAAATGCATTTCAGGTAGTTATATAGATGCACTGAACATTCTGAAGTTGCCTCATTAGGTACTTATCTGTGCTTGAAATGTCTATGCATGTCGGTAGACATCCACAACGGCATGTATTTCCATGTAAGGGGAGAGTGGGACAAGGCGGCCACGGTAAGTAGGGTGTCATGCGGTGCCGTGCGCATATCAGTGGCAGATACGTCTTAGCACTTCTCATATTGCAGGACTCACCCAGTCACCCTTGCCCTGGCTCATTTGTCACCCCCAAAAGGCATCTTACTAGCTCCTTATGGATAGTCCATGAAAATGTTTCTGAGTTAGGTATGAAACAATTCAATGGTCAATGTCGCTTCTGTTTGAAAGCATAAAGCTCATAAAGCTTTCACCGAATTCTCCTTTAAATGTTTCATGTTCAAAATCATGTCTAGGCATAGCATTGTGATATTTCTGAGTTTTTGCCAGTTTTTGCCACTTTTTGCCGGTTAAAACCGGTTTAAACCGGCAAATGGCATAAACTAGTTTTTGCCGGCAAAAATGCCAACCCTGGTACGAGGGCTAAAACGGCATACAAACGACACTGATTTCGAATCGTATGACTAAAACGGACCGTAAAACATGTGTCTCATGACCTAAGTATAAATGCCTTAAAATATCTCGACATTTCAGTGACCAAGCTTGACATCGCCTGGCCTAGCTTTAACCCAGAACAAACTACCATGGCTCGGTATCCGAGAACCTAGATCAAAATGAAACATGATGTTACTGCCTCAGTGACCACCTGAGCTCGAAGTGTTGACAGTGAACATGCCTAATTTTGATGCTATTTCCTTGAACTGACTTGTAACGTTATTCGTGGACGGTAACCAGAGGGTAGAAACATAAGTCCTCGTTCGACAGTATTTTTCAGGGCTATCAAATATCGTTTTATTCTTTAAGACAAGACCGGTGGTTTTAGATGTCTCACCCTACAATCAACCGTGTCAAGAGATATACCCAGTCATGCGCGTATTAAAGTGTACGCACACAGTCGTACCCATTGAACCTTGGCACATACAATGTTCAACGTTTTAAATCATATCAAACAAGAGAAGCTAGTCTTGGGTTTACATAATGAGACACCGAATGAGTAATTTACATTGGGCTCAAAATAAAACATATTTTTATCAACACTTCAATACCATATCTATTCATGCATATCCGTATACGATGCCTATGATTCATAGCATAGAGCCGTAGCTGAACGGTCCACCCTCAACACAAAATACAACGCCATTGATCTGAAAGCCCCTTTCCGCTAGATTAAGGGAACGATGAATCCACTTCCTAAAACGATTCAACAGTTTTAATGGACAAAGTTTTTAACTAATGGGCGTCCAAACACCTACACACACTCATCAACTAATTTCTCAAACACTGACGTTCACCGCACAGTCCCATACACAGCTGATGGCGCTGAGCTGACCTGATCAGGGTGTCGTGCGGGCCTGGCGGTGACCTGACTGCTCCCACCCTGATGCTGACCGTACCCGAGGCGGCTTCCGTCTGAGCAGAGTCGTCCACCGCCGGCCCGCGCAGCCCCCGCGCGCTTCGCCACCACTGGCACCGCCACTCCTAATGGAAACGACCACCGCTGCCTGCAGCGCGCCGGTAGTGCTCATTGACAGGGTGTCCCGGTCAATTTGCTCGGCGAGTAAGTGTCATAAAACGGCCTGTGAGCTCCTGCAAAAGGCGTGGTGTTTGTCCTGTGTTAGCGGCAGCTCTGCAGATTTACGCGAGTTAATGGGCTTAAAAGTCATCCGATGCTGTTCACGTTTTTACCGTTTCGTTTCTTTTTCCTCCAAGCCACATACCTACTCTACGAATTACGCTCACTAAACTTGACAAATTTAATGAACTACTTCACCTTCTCTCATCCTGTTGAAAATGGAGTTCAACTGCGTCATTGATGTCCTGTTCGTGTAAAATCACAACAACAAACTCGATTTTAATCGGATTTGAAGAAGCACGCCCGATCAGACACGTTCTACTACAAAGCGCCGTTTTATCAAACTTCCCGGCCTATTGATTTAAGGCGGTGCTGCCATCGGACGGCAGGAGACCCAACTAGGCCGGCCGGCCTCCTCTGGCGCAGGGATCGATGTGAGAGGGCCAGACCGGCGGAATGGCCGGAAATCTGGAGCGCCAGAGGGGGAGGGAGGGCAGAATTGTGGGGCAGGGGACGGGAAGGGTGCCATCGACTGGCGTACGTCCTTCACATCAAGAGCTGCCGCCAAGTAGGTAGCTGAGCGCGTCAGAACTTCGACGTCTGTTTACAAACACAAACACCTTTATCCTACAAAGTTGTCTGAGTTCCGTAACAAACATTTACTATGGATATTGGATATGTTTGGATTATGACCTCGATAGCGTTATAGTTTGATCATACTTGGTTTCCGTCGTAAGTAAGTCGAAAGGCTGCCTCAAATTAAGGATATGAAAGATATTCAGCAAGCTTATTTCATAGTACCACTCTTACTAATCAAATTACCGGTCCCTCTCCAAACCTCTCGGTTTTCTCTACATGCTCCATCGAGACAGGAGTTCTTGCAACTCTCTTGCCGTTTCACTCTAAATTACGAATTAATAACATAGAGCTTCTATGAAAAGAAAGCGAGCGATTGATGGTCAAAAGTCACAACAAATGGATCAAAATGTCAAGTATCCAGGTCAAACAATGATCATTGGGATAAGACGAACGTCACAAAGGAGGCATTTTGATTACTCGTAAAAACGCTTGCTTTCCCGAGCATCAATTTTGGCACCATCGCATTTTATTATGCCAAGGTGCGTCGACTCAGGAACACTGTTTGGATAAGGTAACTTTGAATGTTTGGACAGAGATTGTTCAGTACAGATTAAATCCGTTTCTTTTTTCTTTTTTTCTATCGTTGAATTGAGCTCTTTCGGTCTAACGAGACCCTTCCAGTCTTCAGAGCCGAAAGGATGATAGGAACTAGGGGGAGACCTTGGTCTGTGCGGGCACCCTGGTGACCCGTCGGGGCTGAGCCCATCACGTTGACAGGCCACTCAGCCCCCTGACGGTCACCGCACCCGGCTACGGGCCTGCTCCTGCATGGGGTGGAGCTACCCGTAGGAAATAAAGTTGCCCGTTTAGCCCGGAACAGGGGATGGAGACGTGCAGGAGTAGGATTTGACTATCCTGAGGATAGAAACGACGGATCGGATGATGCTAAATCCGGTCATGTTAGCTGGTCCAGGGAGATCGTGTGGCATATCATATACGAATTGGCAGGTCATCCTAAAGCATGCATGCATTCTTTGTTCATATCTCATCCCAGTTTGGTCTTACCAACGTTTTTAGCAGGCAACTTTCTGACATCAGAACACCACAAATGTTTCACGACGCCGACCATGATTTTGATTTTTGAACAAGTCCGTAAGAAGCGTAAACTACTAACAATTTTCAGGAAATGCTCGCTTAGTATTGGTAGTACCAGTAGTGACGGCCGACGATCAGAGCATTAGCCGGCGTCAAAATACCGGCGCAGTCAGCATTTAGTTCAGCCTACCGCCCCTAGATGACACTAGCAGTCATACCACCTGCCTGGTAGACTGTACCGCAAGACAGCATGTTTAAATCACCGTCCATAGATGGCACTAGTAAATACGCCCGGGAGTTATGCTGCACCGCAATGCATATCGCGCGCATAGGGGCCCGTATAACGCCGTATGCGTAACGCCGCGCGAGATGAGATTGACAAGTCAACACTTTGAAAGCAAAGGGGTCATTCTACTAGAGGAACATACACACACTTACCTTTCTGGTCAACACAACCTGATTTCTCCACTGGCGGATCCAGGGGGGGGGGGGGCATTTGAGGCAAATGCCCCTCCCCGCAGCGCCAGATATTGACAAAAATGAGTTTTGTCTCGAGAATAAAATGGAAACTTAACATTTTAATTTGGAAAGTTAGAATAAAACTGCATAGCAGTGCGTGAGGGATCGACATCCGATGAGTTATTGGAATTTGGAGAAACTTTTTTGGGGGTATTGCCGCCCCCGTGGCGTCCAAGACCGCCTTTTTAGATCTGCCAGCGCATTTCTCACTCCCGGCATCTAGCGTGCAGTGTTTGACATATTGGAGCTGGAAACGTCCCCGATGCCCCGTCAGGATCACTTACTCGATCGCCGCCGGATCGGGACTCGCTGCAGCTCGAGTACGTCAGTGTCGCCTCCGTCAGCTCCTCTACGCTCCGGACTCCGGTGCTGGCGGCGCCGGACCCGGCCACCGTCTGAACGGACACTGCACGGTACACCGGTCCGCGCAGCCGGGCGCACCGCTCCGCCACTGATATCGCACTTCGCAGCGCACTCTGCGGCTACAAAAATATATCGCAACTACAAAAATACAGCGCACTCTGGGGCTAGCCGTCAGCTGGTAAGGCAGAATTTCTTTTGTTTGAGGATTTGTATTTGAGAGCCAGGTAAGTATCGTAATTAGGTATCATTCTGAGCCGCATGTAAAGGGCTCGGGTGGGCCGGCCGTTTCTCTTCGGTACTGAAAACTACACATTTACGGTTCCACGGAACACATTTCTTATGGGCTTCTTTCGATCTATGCTCAACGGTTACATAATATCCCAAACACAACATTTTGATACAAATCCGCGGCCTATTGATTGCCCGCGTCGGTGCTGCCCTCCTGTGGGGAGATCGAGCACTAGCGCGGGAGGCTGTCGGTACCAGACACTGGTCTTCCACGGAAATCGGAACATGGACGGGTCATCGCACCGTCCGCCATACAGAACTGGCGCCAGCGCAGAGCGAGCATGGACCGGCGGTGTCCTGAATGCATTGACGATCCGAGGTGGTAGACAAAGCTAGAAAAATAGCAGACTTCAATGCCTGAATCGCAGTGTATATTATATTTTCTTATGCATAGCCATGCGATGTAATGGATCATTTTCACATATGAAGAGATTGATGTCTATTAGTTTTAGTTTAATAGTTGAATGAACAACGTAGCAAAATAGCGGAACAAATTACGACAATATTCGAGTGATGCCATTTTCAACATGCATCAATTATCATTCACTTGAACTGGACCGATACAACGAGCAAATGACACCGACAGTAGACCAGGCGCTGTCCGAACCTCACAGCCGCTTCCCATCCCAGCGCCCGGTCTCCACTGCTCCCCGTCGATGATCTCTCAAAGTCAGTATGTGCCGTTATACCACAAACTTCTTCCTTACGCCCATGTCGTAAAAGAACAACGCGAGTTTTTACGGCAAGGGCCACGCACGAGCACTAGCACTGAATAAAACGGCAGCGCGCAAGTGATATTTAGCACATAAAACATTGTACAGGATGAATTACGACACAACTTACACTAGATGCGGTGAACGAAGCACATGGAATGAGGACAAGGGTGAAAACGAACAGATTCAACGTCCACACTTCACTGTCTTCGCCTGCTCACGACGAAGGGCCTATGCGAGTTCCGCACACGCGGCGTCCACCACACACACCATTTCACTCAACTCCTATCATTCTCCGTGACCATCCGCTCAAATCTCTGCACCGTCCTGAGCAGACGACAGGGCAGTCGCCAGTGCCAGTCGCCAGTCACCATGCATCTTCCACATCTCGCGTCGTCTCGCCTCCACCAATCCGCACGCGTCTCCAAGTCCTCCACACTACAAACTCTTCACTGAACCACACTCATCACACTCCACACTTATCGCTTACCACCCCACTCTGCCACTTACACGACCGCGTCAAAAGGTCGGGTTCACCACGCACAGTTTTCGGTTGATCTCTGACAGCACGATGGCATATTTGGCCGTCTCCTCTCGCGTCGCATCTGCCATGATATCCTCATAGACCATCTCCTGTTCGTCTCCGGCGCCGGCCCCGCCACCACCGTTCACCTCTTCCCGCTCCTCTTTGACCTTCTCCTTCAGCGAGCGGCGCTCGTCAATGCGCACCTTCTTTGTGTCGGGCTCCACCGGCTTCGGCTTCTGAAAACGAGATCGGGAAATGAGTCAGGTGGAGAGGTCAGGTCGGGTGTGTGTGTGAGGTGTAGTCAATAGCGTCGTACAATTCGATTGGAAAGTAGTGAAATGAGATGATAGTGCCAAACATCGGCAAGCAACGATAGCGTCAGACTGAAATCCAAGGCACACGTAAAAAAGAACTTAAAGGGACCCTCCGGCTCCCACCTTCAAAAAAGTTAATAAATTGGCATGAAAGTGATGTCTCTCGGTTCAGAAAGAGCGAAAACCAATATCCACCAAATTTCATCGAAAAATATTCACCGGTTTTCAAGATATTAGACTTTTACTTTTGTTTACTTTTTGGGATCTCCGCTGTTCCTAGCGACTTTATTTGAAAGTGCGGCATTTGTTGCGCGCAAAGCAGCATATACCACCGCGTGCTACGAAACGTTTTAGTAAAAGATTTGAAAATCGTTAGATCTCCGCTGACGTCACAAATTCTAAGGGGGCATACCAATGCATTAGCCCCTTAGAATCCGAAAACTGCAAGTTTGAAATTCCATATCTCCGAATTAAAAGCATTTTTCGATGTTGTGAGTGCCCAAACCGGTATTTTCAGGCCATGGCCACCAATTTGGCTATCTCAACTGAAAACTAATGTTAAGGTGGGATGGTCACTTTAAAGGGAGATAATGACCTTTTCCCACAAAATCTGAGTTAGGACCATTTTCTGACAAAACACAACAAGTTATAATGTAAATTAAAACCATTTTGCTCAATTCGGTACCTTGCCGCAAATATCTCAACTTAGAGTCACGTTAGCGGGGAGCGCTGAAAATGACCGTTGAATAAGTACTTACATCACTTTTTGGTACTTGCATGTAATTTTGTAAAATGAGCGTATTCCTTACATTTGATCTTCATCACATCTAGTTAGTTAATGGTCGTCTATAGTGCCTTCAAAAGATATTCATGGTTTGGGGGTGGTTTATGTCTAAATTTACGCAACTATTTTTCCTGTTCATCATCTGACGCCATATGCTGCTATTTTAGTAGCAACGACTCAATTTTGAATCGGTCCCGCCGACTGCACAATAAAAGAAGATAGATACAACACTTTTGCGGCATCACTGAAAAACTTATGCAGTACTGTTATCAAAATTCTCATAACAACGTTCGACAAACCTGAAGTCTTGTTGAAATAAATATGCTTGTATTTCTCGCTTCAGGCTCTGACGCCAAAATAATGAATTTCGTAGTCGCAATCGCAAAATTTGGCTGCGTTTCTGGCGCATGCCGTTCATTTGTGGCGCAAAATAATACTTGGAAACAAAGAAGAGTAGGCACTATGTACCCCCGAATTAGAATCTAATGAGGATCTCGGGAAATTTTAGTTCTTGGTCGACCCGACAGGTGGCAGTGGCTGCTCAGAGCGGTCAAGATGGATGGCGCTTTTGTGACTGTTGTGGCGCAGCGTCAAATTCCACGTGCTGGACCCCTGTGTTTCACTGTGGTAGCGTGGTTGTGGCGTGGCGGATTGGGGTTTTGGAAGATCGGTGAACTAAGATATCTGAGTCGTTGAAGTATGGATAAGTACGCATCAATGAGTGTTAAGGACCTCAAGAGCCTTCTCATCAAACGGAATGCCAAAACTACTGGCAAAAAACCGGATCTCATCGAGAGATTAAGGTACTTGGATTCTGCCACCGGCTCAAGCCCAGGAAGCTTTGCGGGGTTTGACGGATGTGATGAAGTATCGTGGCCAGGCTTAGCTGAGTTTGTCCATGTGAACGGAGCAGTGCCCAAGAATGACATTAATGTTGCCAAGGTCGGTATTTACTTCCTGGAGCATAATGTGTCTGTGAGCAGGTGCTCCAAAGTGCAGAAGTCGGGCTTTGCAATGTTTAAGGAAGGGTTTATGTGCTCATGCAGCTATAGCACCAGTGATAGGAACCTGTTCCTACGAGCTACTGTATTCGCAGAGATGAAGAAAGATGTGACGTATCTGGTGGAATGTCGCATTCAGGACAGTGAAATAGGGTACACCAGCTGCGAATGTACAGCTGGCCGTGGCCCTCATGCCATTTGCAAGCATGTTGCTGTGCTGCTTTATAATTTGGAGCAGTATGAAAGGACTGACAAATGGATGATGTCCAAGTCATGCACTGATGTTGCTCAGTCATGGCCTCATCAACCGAAGAAAAGAGTTCTGGATCCCCACGAGGCCAAGACTCCAGAGGACATTTTGAATGCGAATGAGGATCATGCGTACTTTGCAGACCCCAGGCCAGCAAAGTTTCAGAAAATGGACTCCAAACGTCAAAGAGTTGAGATGATGCTGATTAACTATTCATCAACAAGGTCGCACAGTTTGCATCTCGGTGAAATATGTCAAGGTAAGGCAAACATGCAAGCAGTTGTGGATGACCATGATTACCTAAGGTCAAGCTTGACAGAAGCATGGGTGGACAACATCACAAAGGTCTCCAAAGAAGAGGCTAGCTTGCTGGAGAGAAAGACAAGGGGACAATCAACATCTAGTTTGTGGACTGCAGAAAGGCGAGTGAGACTGACTGCTTCTTCGGCGCACAGAGTGTGCAATGTGAAGAAGAACAGAGACAGCCTAGCTGCCAGCCTATATGATCCTCAAAGTCTTGGTCATATTCCAGCAGTCAGGTGGGGCAAGGCAAATGAGTCACAGGCTTTGGAGAAATATGCTGAGGTCACTGGTAGAGCAGTGCAAAAGTGTGGGTTATTTGTATGCGTTGATATGCCTTTTCTTGCTGCCAGTCCTGATGGGGTGTGTTCTGACAGGCTTGTCGAAATCAAATGTCCATATAAGAAGGAAGTGAGGGAAAGCGAAACACTGCTGGATGCTGGGTACCTGCCCTTGGTAAAAGATGAAAATGGAAAGGTCAGTTTAAAGGAGTCGCACCCATACTTTTACCAGATCCAGCTGCAAATGCATGTGACTGGCCATAGCATGTGTGATTTTGTGGTATACACTCCCAAGGATATGTGCATTGTGGAGGTTAAGCGCAATGAACCTTTTATCACTAACATGGTCAGGAGCCTGGCCTCCTTTTACCAAGCTCATTACAAGCCCTTACTGGCACGAAAGCTGTTTGGATGTGGCAGCTAAGGACTGGCGACAATGGTGATGTGTGACTGTGTCAGAGGTATGACTGTACAAACTACAAGGGGTACAGAAGCATCCGGATTATGTGCTGATGTGTTGTATTCCGCATGTTGATTGAATACATATTGAGCATCAGCAGTGGCACCATTTTCTTGTTCTTTGATTCACCAATCACCGATCATCCCAATGAAGGTTTAGGAATCTTGGTTCTCGTAACACCACTTAGGTACAAGCCTATTTTTACTGAGTGAGTGCCTAGTGAAGTGCAAGAGGTCAATGTAGACTTGGCATTCCGCAACTAAAATTATTGCTGCCATCTGGTGCCATTTGAACCAACAGATTTTCATTTGCCAAGTTGTTGATGTTCCTACTTATCAATACATATTTCAGAACAGACCCAATCACATAAACAGTGGCAAAATATGTCGTAAGGCACATCATTGTATTTGTAAATCCACCTTGAAAAGTCGGTATTACAATGCAAGACAATGTAAGTACATTGGCCTGGGACCACACATGTGACTGATAGTGCACTTCCACAAAAATGTCCAGGCGAGAACAGGTATGATACATAGAAAAAATGTCACTGCAAATGGCCAATGGGTGAAACTGATAACTGAACATGTAACAGAATCTGCACACCAAGAGCTGGTCAAGCAAGAACAGACAGGAAATTCTACCTAAGACACAATCTTTCGCCTAAGGTTCACCAGCATGAAGCACACATAGATGATCCTGCTAGCAAACACAACCTTCGATTGGTGGATTTTTTGACTGAGGATACTGTAAGTTTTTGCCAGACCTATCACTCTTTCCACATGAATTCTCCTAGATGAAATGTAAGTCGATTTCCTCAAATCTGCAACAGAGAGCTGTGACTTCCCTTTCATACTCACAGGCACATTTAAAATAAGGCCTCGATCCTTACACATTTGTTCTATTTGGAAGCCCCTGTCTGCCAAAATAACATCTCCATCACTTAGCTCATCAAGCACTTTTGATGCCTCAAGAATAACTTTGTCACTGTATGAGCCGCAGTAGCCGGCAGACACATGGGTCACAAGACATGATGGAGAAATTCCCACTAGAGCTTTCACAGTGTTAGCACTCTTGTAGCTCGAGTATGTAGCCTGTTGAAGGGTTGGATTACTAGGTCGGTCGATCTTCATTTCGGTGCAGTCCAAAATTATCCTTACATCTGCCTCTGCAGCATCAGATGGCTTAATATTCCACTCCTTGAATTCAAAATACATAAAATTCAGCCACGTGTGAAAGACAGGACCCACCAGTCCTTCAGGAATGGCAAATCTGTCTGACAGTTCTATGTCTGTCATGTTCCTTCTGAGCTTAATCAAAGCCAGTAAAAATGCGTCCTCTGGCTGCAGCGGACATGTTTTGTTTGCTCGTGGTCCATAGTCCAACTCATAGGCAGCTGGTCCCAACAAATGGAAAACAAACATGAAATGATCAAAGTCATCAAATCCAGTATAATATTGCACCAATCTTGGGTTTTCCTTATAATGCTGGATGGACAGCCCTTGCCTGGTTTCACCAGTTTGGCACCCTGCATCCACACATCGCTTGACCACAGGTTCACAATCCGCTGCACTTGGCCCTTGCTCTGTTGCTGAGTCTCTGAGCTCCGTCTCCACAGTCACTTCTTCAATAATGTCCACATCATCCTCTTGATGCCCACTACTTTCTTCAGGCTTGTCCTGCTTGCTTTGTTCATCTCGTTTCAGCTTCCTCAGCTGCCGTGAGGACAACACTTTGTGCTGATCTGAGGACCACTGAAACAACGAAGGCACACTGCCTGGCTTCAGCTTTTTATGGTGCTTTACTCCAGCCTCCTTTGATGCCCATGACTGTTCATTGTAATCGTCATGCTTGAAATGTTTAGAACAGACCCGGCTGTGTTTGGTGGGCTGGAAATGGTCGCGGCGAATGGCATGAAGCCATTGTTTGCGAAGCTTGCGATCTTTTGGAAAGGCATGTCCATAAGATCTTTCCGAACACCTGGGGACACAACAGCCAGAAACCATGTCTACGAATCTTCAGAGTGGCCTCGTTATCAGGTTTTATAACTAAAACGATACAAATAATGTCTAAATATGTAGAACGAACACAACCAACCACGACCGAACCGACCCAAACACTGCCTGGCACAGCAGCCCAAGGAGGCAGCCATCATGGAACTAGTAGGAAGATGCTAGTATTACAACATAAAGCAAAGTAAAAATGTGTTTTCACAAGTATTGGTATATGAAAACCACATAAAGTGCTAATAATAATAGATTAAATTGTCATGCTACAAGTCATCTGAAGTCGTAAGTAGTAAAATATAATTTCATCGTAACTTATACTATATCTGGTATTGTAACTGAAGGCCTTCAAAATTTAGAAAAGTTTTATTCAAAGACTGTATTACACTTTAAAAAAGCATATGACAAATATTTTAACTCTAATTGTAGTGTATTTTAAATTCAAAACTGAAATATATTGTTCAATATATAATATCACTTTTAGTATGAACCTACTATTGTTGCCAGGCATCTGCCGGGTCCTGCCGAGTTTTCGCCTCAGCGGCTGACCGTCCTTGGCATGCAGTGCCACCTATCGGATGAGTTTCACGGGAACCTCATTAATTCTAAACCGAATTAACTCTAATTCAAATTAGAATCCTTACAACCAAGCAACGACAAGGCGATAACATAAACAAAAACCCAAGCGTCGCTGTTTGAAACAAAAGCGCCATATACTGCGACCTTTTTATAGAGAAGGACAACGCATTTCGGTGGGTGTTACAAGTACTGCAAGTACTGCTTCTTTTTTGCAAAAATAAAAACCTTTTTCACATACGAAAATGTGCTAGGAAATTTTCATATTTTATAGAAACTACAGTAGAAATAGTATACCCGACGCCGCCCGTTAGCCCGGTACAGTCCCAGCTTGGAGCGAATTAAAGGGACCCTCCCACCTTCAAAAAAGTTTATGAATTGGCATGAAAGTGATGTCGCTCGGTTCAGAAAGAGCGAAAACGAATATCTACCAAATTTCACCAAAAAATATTCACCGGTTTTCAAGATATTAGACTTTTACTTTTGTTTACTTTTATTGGGATCTCCGCTGTTTCTAGCGACTTTATTTTAGAAGTGCGGCGTTTGCGGCAGATGTTGCGCGCAAATAGCATATACCACCGCGTGCTACAAAACGTTTTAGTCAAACATTTAAAAATCGTTAGATATTTGCGCTGACGTCACACATTCAGAGGGGTATTCCTAAGCATTAGCCCCTCTGAATCAAAATGCTGCAATTTTGAAATTCAATATTTCCGATTTAAGGCATTTCTCGATGTTGTGAGTGCCGAAACCGGTAATTGTGAGCCAGGGACCCCATTTTGGCTATCTCAACTCAAATCTAATGTTAAGGTGGGAGGGTCCCTTTAATTGCTCAGACGTGGGCTGGGCCGGTGAAGCTCATATCTCCCTTTAAACAAACTCGAAATAAAACACTCTGTAATGCATAAAAGCGCATCACGACGAAATATCCTCTTCAAAAATAGCGATTAAAATGAGAGGCAGAAACGGCCCAAACCATAACATTCATAGTTGATATAACCAAATGAAATTATTGGGACATCGACTGCGCTCAAAAAGACTTAATTAATGACGCCTCAAGATGAGACTCTTAGTGGCTGGGGCTGATTTTCCATTTGCCTTCTGAGCCATCGCGGGACGGGCGATACGCCGCGCTGAAATCTGATCTCCAGCCAGTCCAACTGTGACCCTATCGTCACCGCTGAGTAGCCGCCTCATTTCCGCGGAGATTGCGTTTCCTTCAAACGGGCTAATTTATGCGGACGCGGCCTTCGCCACCAGCCCCCTCGTGGCGCTGAAGTAGCGAACAGTGCGCCTGCCAAAGCAGTATGCAAATTGGGCACGGGTCGAGGGCCAGCGGCGACTTTGGCTATTGGCTAGCCGCGTGCCAGGATGTCCCGCTCCGATGGGGTTGATAAAATCGGGCATTGTAAACGGCGGTGATTGTAAACTGAAGGGAAGGAGGACAAAGAAGGAAATAGACAAACAAGCTAAAGAAGGCAGACAAAGCTGCGACGTCGTTCGTCAGGTAGAGTCAGCATTGATCCGAAGATCGCAAAATATGACCTTTGACTAGCTTTTGTCTTCTTTTTTGTGAAGGAAGCTTTATACTGTCGATATAATCTCTTTGCAGTTTCCGAACCCGTTTAGCGCTTCTTGGTACCTTGCTTACGTTTTGATATAGTTGGACTTGGGACAGGCAACCAGAGCCACCCCTTCCTTGCGAAGTTGGCTCAGACCTCGTACTTGCAAACATTTGAAGAATTGCTATGGTTAATTTGTATTTGGCTCACAACTTTAGTAGTATGGGTTGAATTAATCATTTATCAACGTCCTCGCTATCCATAAGTATACATCAAGCAGTGAGCTGCTATTCTTTCCTTTCCTCGACTCATCTGCCGTACTTCCTTGGAACTCCTTCCCGGACTCACCCGCTTCCGCGGCGCCCTCTCGTACTGGCTGGCGTCGTAGAACTTGGGCTTCTCCCGTTTGACGCGCTCGGTGCGGCGTCGGGCGGGCGATTCGCCCTCCTTGGCGGCACCGGGCGCGCGGCCGGGGGACCCCACCGGGGCCGCTGACGAGACCGTGGAGTCACTCGACTTGCGGAACGAGTGGCCGCACGGACACGTCTTGCAGGCCACCGGCAGCTGAGGTGAATGATAAACATGTGAACATGATCTGATCTGGGGTGGGCAAATGATGGGCACATGTGTATAATGTTAAGAACAAATCTAATTATTTGTACCTATTGTATTTGTATTTACATTTAAGAGCGATCCACACACAGTGCGTGGCAATTACTGCTCAGAATCCGTATCCGCGGTTGCTAATCTAATCATTCAAAACATTTGCACGTTCACTCACGTCAAGATACGGACAAAACGCTCTCAGGAAAGCCTCATCGCTCTTACCCACCCCTACCCTATTGGTCAGCGACAATGTGCTGATTCATCGTCCAAGATTAATGAAGGCCCTTTATAAAAATTGAATGAATGAATAAGATGAATGAGATGAATGAAATGAATAACATGGATGAGGGCTGAAGTTCAAAAATGATGCATTAACACAACACATTATCGGCATTTTAGCATTTTTGACAGAAATGATTAGGTAAATTGTTGATTGTATAAGTCAATTACAATAGGTAGGTACCTAAGCAAACATGAAAAATGAAGGTGAGTGATTACAACCTAATCTCAAGCAAAATTCCAGAGAGAAAAATAACTAAAAACATGGACCAGCAAGATATGAGAAGTGACCTTTTAAATATTACAAATGGGTATTAAGTACCCAACTAACTAGCAAGAAATGCATGCCACTACTGACAGGATGTCATGAGCCCAAAATTGACATCTGTATGAATGATACCAAAATTGTTAGCCTTACCTGTCTCTCACAGCCCGGGCATTCCTTCGTAACACTCTTCTTCGGCATTGCTGATAAATTGAATTCACTTCACCAGGATTTATTCAAGTTCAAAACACATTCAAACTGATCCTGAAAACCAGATAACATAGATTAATATATGTATGCACATTTGACATTGAAGTCAATATATAGGTATGCCGGGTATGCCATCAAATCTTTGCTGGCAAGTTTTTCTTTGAAACTATAATAATATGAATCAAATTCATTTGACTGAGGGCTGGGGGGCTGGATTGTTTGAGTATCAGTATAGGTAGTCTGGATAAAACAGTACCAAGATCACTTAGAAGAGTAGGTACAAACCTTTTCATTTAGTAAGCTTTTGTTACATTTATATTGGTTGAAAAATAAAAAAAAACTATTTATATACTCTGTGCAAAAAACGATATGCGTTAAATTGCGGCAAGTTGGGGCAATTATTTAGGTTATGCCTTTCGTGCATTCACATGAAATTAAAAATGACGTCTTTAATTTCAAAGAAAATTTCACAGCTTCATGCTGCAACTTTGCATTCATTAGGCGCAATAAGACGTTTTTCTTCTCAGTTGAAATCATTGAAAAAAATCTACCAATATTATACAAATTGACTTGTAAATCAAAATAATGGTAAGTATTTTCTACGGACTACGGGTAGAAATGACGTCAAAAGACCAATTTCTAGAAGGAGCGAAAGTTGTTTATAAACAGAAGCTATGCGACGTTCTGTGGCGCACACGCTATGGGGCGGGGTGTTTTAGATATCAATATTATGGCCGCGTTCGATGTCTCCTCGGACGAAGAACATTCTACGCAGAATATTCTATTTTGCGTTCGATGAAGCACACAGGCGGACGACGAGACCGGCCATTTTGTGCGCCACTTACACAATGTGCGTCAGTTTCGAAAAAGACCCAAGTTTACGTTTCCATAGAGACCGCGCACAAATGTCAACAACTTCTGCAAACAGCTGCTGCGCCGCTTTTGAAATACGCGCCATCATTGCCTCTCTGCCCACCGTAGTACGCTCAAAAGATTATTGTATTGTATTGTATTGAACAATCATGAGCGATCCACATTCTAAAAGTGCGTGGCGATTACTGCTCAGAATCCGTATCCGCGGTTACTAATTTAAACATTCACAGCATTCACACATCTGCGCGGACGACGAAGATTCTACGTGACGTCACGTAGAATCTTTGCCGTCCGTGCGACATCGAACGCCATTTCGGGCCCGGACGGCATGCGTCATTTTTTTTCCCAGCCGGAGCAATACACAGGGCGGCTCTGATTGGCTACCCGCTCCGGCCCGTGACGTCAGACCGAGAAGACGTCACACAGGGATGCCCGAGAGCGCTTTCGATTCCGGAGATTTCAAATCAAATGCCGTCGAGTTGATGCCGCTGTGTAACGAGGCTGCGCAATGCACGGTGACTATAAATACGCGGTGGCGCAATGTGTATTCTAACCGGTCTAATGGTGGGTGAACGAAAGTATATTCATTATTCTTTGATTGAGATAAGTATGAAGCGTATTGTTTGATGCGTACTTAGCATGTTGTAACAGCGGAAATATTTCTCGCGAGATATTTGACTTTACCTTCCATGCTTTTTTTGATCATATCTATTGCGAACTTGATAGACGCAGCGGAGCCTGCCTTTCGGACTCCAACGGTCTGCATAAAACACACGTTTGGAAAACAGGTGCCCTCCGCTGCTTCCCACGGGGGGGGGGGGAGACTGCATCTCTTTTACACCCAGACATGTTGGAGTAAATATTCCACTTTGAAGATATGAGATTTGGAGTAAGAAAACAGCTTTGTAGTTCGTGGTTATAGCTTAATTAAGTTCAAGAACAATCACGCTGAAACATTTAACGAATATGGGTGTCGCACGCCAACAATTAGCTTTTGACCGCCGCGCCAGTCGGATCGCCTTCCTGACATTCATACACTGTCTCAGCAGCACCAGAACCACTGGAACATGTATTTACACATGCGAGTACCATCTGGCAACCACTGCTCGCATTCCGCTAGACCGTTATCATCGACGCGTTTAAAGCTTTCACTGTCGATCCGCATTGAGGATTACATCCTAACTACCATCCTGAACACATTAGGCACTGTGGGTTCGACCCACAGACACGTTTCGAGCCACACACTCCGCCAGGTTGTGTGGGGCTCGAGCTGGGGGCACCACCTGAGAACAGAGTGATTGCTTCGCGACCTTCGTTGGCACGGCGTAGGCACCGTGGTCGCCAGCGGCGGCGTCTTTTTTGGGTCTCCCGGTGGAAACACGCCGCTTGCCACCAACTGGGACCTTCCTGCGAGCCACTGCTGTCGGATGGACGCCTATCATCACGGAGCTTTTAAAGGAGCTTGCAGGGACAGCGCTGCAACCAGTGCCAAACTGGTGCAAACTTGATCCCCGCGAATTGTCCGTTTTCATGCACTCGTAGCGGCTAATGAACGTGGCCGTGCCCAGTGCGGGGCCGTACAGCTCTGGTGCACGCATGAGGTCAGCTTGCCATGACTCACACAGAGCCTGGCACCGAGCGATCAGGTCAGCTGTCCCGTCGCCCGGGTTGGTGCCCGCCTTCTCCTCGCTCGCCGGGTCAGGTTGCTGATCACCAGATGCGTCACTTCGGCTCGTGCTTGGCTGGCTCGTGCTGCTCGGTTCCCGCGGATCTTGCCTCATTGAGGCCAAAAACCCGCCGGGTGCTGTAAGACCTGTCAACAGGAGGATCATGACTATGAAAACACACTATACGAGCGGTACAAACACCATCACCGCGCAAGATAGTACAAATAGATCATTTGGGCCAAAATATGGCCTCGAGAACGAGGTTATATCTCCATTACCAAAGGTCAGGGGCGTCGACACCGGTCCGACTTTTCCGACTAGTCGGACCACTTTTTCGACTAGGCGGTGCCCTGCTGTGGCTCGCGGGGGCCCCTGCTGCAGACCGCGGGGGCCCTACTGCGGCTCGGGGGGCCCTGCTAGAGACCGCGGGGGCCCTGCTGCGCCTCTGGGGCCCTGCTAGACACCGCGGGGCCCTGCTGCGGCCCGCGGGGTCCCCTTCTGCGGCCGCGGGGGGCCCCTGTTGGGGCTCTCGGGGGGCCCTGCTGCGGCCACGGGGGCCCCTGGGGCCCCCACCGGTGGGGGCCCCCGAGAAAAAGTCGGACCAGTTTTCCTTACGCGTCGACGCCCCTGCAAAGGTCACAGGTATCTCAAGTATTCAGTGTACCTTAACCCGCGCCCCGCTAGGGGGGCTAAGAAGTATGTGTCTGACGAACAATGTACCATCGATGGTTTTCAATAACTTACCAATTTACTCGATTTCACAACACATTTCTTGAAATGCCTGTGAACGACATTTCATGCCTGTGATCGTCCACCTCCAGAGCAGCACGACCGCCCGATGTTCCGTCGCACTGCTCTACGAGGCAGCGAAGGCCGTCCAGCATTTTCTCTCCGGAGAGCTCGCCAAAGACTTTCTTGAATTCTGTCCGGTACAACCTGTAATTAAAGGAATTGTGGTTAGACTGATGGTATGTGTTACTTGTTGATTGGGAATGGTCGGGTAGCTACTTTTGAGCTACGAACAGTTTAGGCGACGGAGGCGGAAGTGACGGAACAAAATTTAACCGGTGTTCCGAAAACATTTAAGAAAAGGTGCATTCCACGATAGATCGACCAAAGCCGTACACCCTCATATTTTATTTTTTGCTTAACCCGCGCCGTGCTGGTGGCCTGAACATTCCGCCGAGTGCTGGGGGGCCGTTTTCAAGCCCCCCCCCCGTCTAACTCGGCTCCTGGGTCACGTAGCGACACGCGGTTAGCGGCAATCGAAAGAGCGCCAAAAATAAGGAAGAAAACACTTCAGTCATTTTTAAGGTCAGGTCACCATAGGTCACCAAAGGAAAAATGTTGGCTATTTCAACATTTTGGAAACTGTCAACGGCTAACTCGAGAACCGATAGAGCTACAGCGCCGCGGAAAAGTGCATTCGAATTTCGATAGCTCTCTTAACGCTCTTTCGCTAATATATATCCTCAGATTTGACCTCAGGTCAACGGTTTAGCCTCCAGAGTGCAAAAACTAAAAAATAACAGTTTTTACGAAGAGCTTTTCGGCAAGAACTTTTGGCTCAAAAGAGCCACGACAATTCTCCTGCCAGCAACGTGTTCCTCGCGTCGAGACGCGTCGAATTAACAATTTGTTGATCTTAAAAGGTCATTTTGAAAATTTGACCTCAGGTCAAGGTCATGACCTGACCGAAAAGGGGTCATGCTGCATATCAGTCGATCCATATTGTCGAGCTGAACACAACTGACGTGTTTTCACCGCTCTAGTACGTCTCTATCAAAAGTTATAGCCAAAAAAGGTTGAAATGTTCAAGGTGAAAGGTTCAAAGTGATCGTTCAATCGGTGTAGCTATAGTTATATAATAGTGTAGCTATAGATTATATATCTATAGGTATAAAATCGGTGTACCTTTGAACTTTTTCTGAGGTAAGGTCACTTGACGTGACCTGGTGACCTGACCTTGAACGACCCGGGTCTGAAATTTTCAAAACATGTGCGGAAAGGAGGTATGAACAGGTGTACAAAAAACAGCGGTGCGCAATTCGAGAAAAACCTGAGGGGGGGGGGGCGTAAAAACGCCCCCCCCCCCCCTCCCCAGCAGGGCGCGGGTTAAAATTGGTCTAATGGGTTGTGATGGGCGGGGAAGCCAGCTAAGGCAATCATTTTTTTTCTTCGAACAACTGCTTCCGGGATATAGCCTCGGGCAATTCCTGGAGGTCACGCTGCGACCCTACGTTTAGCGGCTTATAACTCAGAAACTATTGGTTTTCTATGATTAAAACTTTATATAGTTCAACTCGCAATTAACCAACAAACATTTTGGCTATTTCGGAACTTTAACTTTTGAAAATGTTAATCACGTGTCCTCTTGACCTTTTCTTCGAAGAGTGACCTTGATATTTTCCCCACTGAAAGTTGCAATTTCGTCTGATGACGATTAAAGCCTTATCAATTTTCATTCATATGCGATAATAAAAAGGTGGCTTTCGGCCTGCGTTGACCTCAGGTCAGGTCATTTTTGTGACATGCCCTTAATAAGTCAATGGCAGAAATATTGGCTACCACCGAAACGCATCTGACCGGTTCAAATACTTTTGAATCATGTTGAGTTAGGCTATTACTCATGGCACTGGTGCAGCTTTGCATCAGCGACCTGCTGAAAGGTCATCCGTGGTCACCCGTTGAACACACGACAATAATTTTCCTTTTTTGTTGTACCTTTTGTTCTAATAAAGAAAGAGACGTGGAATAGCCACTATTGTGTTTGCTTTGGCCTAGCGTCAGTTTGCTTTGAATTTCGATATCGATGACTTAAGGTCAGGGCAATTTCTTAACCACCCCATTATAAGTCAATTGGGGGGAGGGGGGGGATCAGCTCCCTTATTTTTACACTAAAACGCGTCGGAATTGCCTAAGATACAATGAGTGACTTCATATACGATTAACTTTGACTATTACCTTGAGACCTTGTTTGCTCTTGGGCAACGCTGTGACGTTGCTTTTGGGTCATATGACGTCATCATGTGGGTTTTTGGGGGGTATAAGTGCAATAATTTCGCTAAAACATGTCAAACGTTTTTTCGCTTATAACTTTTTACCTAGTACCGACGGAGCAAAAATAAAAGCACCGGTGAACTCAGGACGTCCGTGCGCATCGAATGATCTACTTTGTTCCCAATTTAAGTAAACTTCAAATTTTCTTAAAAATTAAGTGAACTTAAAAGTAATTAATTACGTTTAACTTAATCAAAATGCATCATATCGCACAACATTCAAACCGGCTGATCACAAGGAACACAACGACACCGTTTTTAAAGCTCTAGCCTCATCGTGTGCCAAGTTATTAGCAAAAGCGTAGTTTGACCTTAGTTGACCCGACCCAAGCGTTCTTGCAGCTTGCAAACACCAAGTAGATGTAAGTCAAGGTAGTACAACACAAAAACGTTAAAAGAAAGCACAAATCTCTTATCTTTACATATTCGGGCAAATTTCCTTAAAAATTGTCATGACCTCTAGATGACTTCAGGTCAACCGAATTTAAAAAAGGGTGCATATGATAGCACTCGGTGACCTAAGCATACCCTGCAGGTTTGAATCAAATCGACGAAGAACTCTACTTTCCATGAACAAAATAGTGCATTTTTAGTGGTTTTGACTATGCACCGGTTTTTGTGACCTTGTAACCTGACCTCGGGTCACTGGAATCTAAAACTCCCAGGTCATGTGTCAAATAGATTCCCCAAGTTGTGTCCGAAATTTGGTAGCGCTACGTGCCATAGCGCCCACGATATCAACGAATAACACTGTCATTCAGTTGCCGCTAAACTAGTCCAATTTTCCCTGACCTTGTACCGGTTTTTGTGACCTGGTGACCTGGGGCCGTATTCACGTCGACTTCGTAAGTCGATTTTCTTTCGTAAGTATGATTTGGTATTCACGTCGACACTTCTTAAGTTTTTATCGACGGAGTTCACGTGAATGAAAAAATTTACTTAAGAAGTAGGTCACACTTAAGAAAATTCTTACGAAAATGATCGACGTGAATACGGCCCCTGACCTGAAAAGACTGGAACTTGAAATTTTCAGGATTTTCAGGATTTAGGTGCGGAAAGATTGCCCCAGAGGGTATGCCAATTACGTTATTTGCGAAAACCTTAGGGGGGTTGCATCTTGGTTGCATCAACCCCCCCCCCCTCGCCGGGCGAGGATTAATAAAAATTACAACATAAATCTGCCATCCTTACCGGTGACAATAGCCAACATCAGGACAGTGGGCGCGGTCCGCTGCGATGCGGTAGAAATCGTCTCCGGCCTCCTCTTGCAGAGCTGAGATGAGCTCGTCTCGCGCCTACTCAGCCGAGTAGGCCATCCGGAACAGCTCCAGAAGACGGTCCCTGGTCGCCGTCGATACATCTCTCTCCTTCGGAAGTCGTAGTCGTAGTCGTAGTCGTAGTCGTAGTCGTAGTTCGTAGTCGCGGTAGTTCGCGGTAGTCGTAGTTCGTAGGAAGCAGCTCCTGACAAGCATAGGATTACGATATGATGAGGTATGTGGTAACTGGTAGGAACGTGGGAGTAAAAAGCCGAAAGAAAGCCGAAAATAGTGTCGATTTGTTGAACGGGAGTGTGCCAGGGTCCATTTTCGGGAGGATCTCCACTGAGCGGCGATGGGCGGTGTTCAAGTCTTTCGTGCATATCTACAAAACGAATTGAGCTAGGTACATGCAATTTTCTGAGCATTACTTTAACGTATTTCATACTGATAGCATATATATCCTGTCAAAATAGTGGTTCTATCTTGAACATCAGCGGCTCCACGGCTAATTTTCGGGAGGGCCCCACTGACCAGCAATGGGGGCCTGGGTTTACGTGGATATCTCCAAAACGAATTGAGCTAGCCACTTGAAACTTTCAGACTGTTCTCAACAATATAATAAGCATATCCTGTCCAAGGACAGGATTATTGGTGACATTGTACCAAAATTTTGAGGTCCTAGCTTGTGCAGGGACGTGTCCAAGGCTGGTTTCTCGAGGGTATTTTTCGCCCAACTTCGAATTTTCTTACATTTGCCGATGAGTTCCTCAGGTTCGCATCGATGATCAATGGCCCTGTTGCACTTGCATGACAGTAGGCTACATGGCACAAGCATGTACTATGCTGCATAGGCAGATAGGTATCTGCATAGGCAGGCCCAGGGAAGGAACATTGGGAGGTGTCATTCCCCCATTTCAGTGTAGGTACCTGAATCCGCCTATGCTAAGCATAAATGGGCAACTACATGGTATTCCAATCACGTGAATACCTTACAGACGTTAAGTTATGCTCATAAGACGTTTCTTTTTCAACAAAATACTTCAAAAATATTTACCCCATTTTTACCTTGATTTTACATACCTGAAACCGCCTAATGCCTATGACTTTTCAAATTTCACAAAACCCACAACATATATGAAGGACCCATGGCCATGTATACAGATTCATATCCTAAAGTCTGCATCTAAATCGAATGAGAAACATCAAAGTTATTGCAATTATACGGCTTAGGTGAAAAATGCGAAATTTTTATAATTGCTTGCCCTCTGAGACCCTATTTTTCAACTTTTTCCAACTCTTTTGCATGAATCTAAAAGTTTAAGTTGAGAGGAATTGAATGGTGTTTGTCCCATGATCAACATCAGTCATTTAGTTCCCGAGATCTGACGGGGGGCTGAATCGGCCTCCTCCACCAGTTGACGTACTCCAGAAAGCCCACCATTAATAGGGTTAAGCACAGGAAGTTTTCGCTTCAGCGGGCGCAATATGGGTCTTCTCCCCTAATCTCAAGGAAAGTGAATGGATAAAACAGACAAAAGGAGGCCAATTTATGTACCTAACTTTTACTTACCCTAAGATTGTGGAAAATAGTCAAGCTGTCCTTGCTGCATGGGCAAAGCTTAATATCAGCCATTTTCAGACATGTATCCTGAAAAATGAGGAAGTTCAAGTGTAAGTAAATGTTCAACCTTTGGGGTCAGGGTTGTAAACGACTGGAACAGTCAACCGGCATCAATCGTCACATCTCGCACAGTTAACGCCTTCAAAGCAAAGCTCGACGCTCACTGGACTCACCTTCACTACACAATTCACACAAACGACTGAAGCAGAGTCACAGATTAGGAGCTCGATAAAGTAAGAGTCCTAAAGGCCAAGTGGCCTTCTAAATTCTCGTACATCGTAAGTAAGTAAGTAAGTAAGTATTTTCCATGCAAGGGAGAGAAGTACCTATCAACTGAGCGCCGTGTCTGGAACACTACGCTTCTCAGATTGAGATTCCATGGAAAATAATATAAATCCAGTCATGAATAAACATGATGAACAGTGGACACAAATTAATACTTTTCATATCCACTCACCTGTGCCCCATGTATGGAAGACCGCTTGAATTTTGAAATGAAATTGAAATGGGTATCAACGAAGATGAAGATAGAAAGTCGGCAATCCCGGCGTAAGCACCTCTTTGCATAAAAAATAACGTAACAAACATTGTATCTGGCCAGTTAGTGGTATTTGATATCAAGCGCTTCAAACTCACCCGAAAATGAACCGAAACGAAACGAACCCGAACGTGTTTTACACGTTTTACATACCTTGCCCGAACCAGAGATGGCCATCGGACGAAAACAAAACACAACGCACGGCACCAGCAGACAGCAAAATCGGATGCGACTCCGTAGGATGCGAACGCTGTTGCTAAGCAACCACAATGCATTGTGGGTCCTGACGTCAGGGGCTGGAGCGGGTAGCCAATCAGAGCCGCCCTGTGTATTGCTCCGGCTGGGAAAAAAAATGACGCGGACGGCATAGAATCTTTGCCGTCCGGGAGACATCGAACGCAGGGTATATGTTGTTGATATTGTGGATATTTGGTGCGATTTGATGGATGTATGGGGGGGGGGGGGGGGGGGTCCACGGTATTCTGAAATAATGAAAAGGTTTGAGAGGTTAATGTGCTTCATTTGTCAGTTCATTGATCGGGTGTGTTCATTTCTAAAAATCATTGAATAGCTGTTTGAGCTGCTGAGAGGACCATCACCCTTCAATTGCAGCAATTTTGGCTTTTTTACACATCAAGTCAGTCAATGAGTAAGTGCTTATTCTTTGGAAGTATCTGGAAATCAAATGTAAGAAGGTCGAGCACAAGATATGGGAAGGATAACTTTGGGATTAATTTTGTCATAGATATTGCAAATAAAAATATTTCGCGTCAATAGTAGTTACACCGGATGCTAGGGGCTAGGGCCCTGTTCCATCGATGTAACGGAAGTTGGCACAGATTCAGCACAGATTCAGCACAGCACAGATTCGGTAGGGGGAAAAAAGGCCCCGGTAGAGGGAAACCTTTATGACCCGTTTTCCCCTAGAAATGACGTCACAAAGAGGTAAAAATGGGTATCAATCGAAAGCTCTCGTTTACCCAGACACAGTCCTGCAGGAAAATTCCACTTTTTCCCCATAGGAAAGTTTTTACGGGAAAATCAAAATTTTGGGTCAATGGGGGGTCCCCCCCGATTTCGTTCAAAATCGGCACACAGGTGCCCCACCACCAGCCGAGAAACTTTCCCCAAAACGGTCCCCGTTGCATTGACGTTTAAGGCCCTTAAAGCCCCGTAAACTCGTAAAAAAATCCGTAAATTCGCCCTTGTACGGCCAAAAACGGGGCGCTAGGGTAAAAATGGGTATCAATCGAAAGCTCTCGTTTACCCAGACACAGTCCTGCAGGAAAAATCCACTTTTTCCCCATAGGAAAGTTTTTACGGGAAAATCAAAATTTCGGGTCAATGGGGGGTCCCCCCCGATTTCGTTCAAAATCGGCACACAGGTGCCCCACCACCAGCCGAGAAACTTTCCCCAAAACGGTCCCCGTTGCATTGACGTTAAAGGCCCGTAAAGCCCCCTAGACTCGTAAAATATCCGTAAAATCGCCTTTGTACGGACAAAAAAGTGGTGCTATGGTAAAAATGAGTATCAATCGAAAGCACTCGTTTACCCAGACACAGTCCTGCAGGAAAATTCCACTTTTTTCCCATAGGAAAGTTTTTACGGGAAAATCAAAATTTTGGGTCAATGGGGGGTCCCCCCCGATTTCGTTCAAAATCGGCACACAGGTGCCCCACCACCAGCCGAGAAACTTTCCCCAAAACGGTCCCCGTTGCATTGACGTTAAAGGCCCGTAAAGCCCCCTAGACTCGTAAAATATCCGTAAAATCGCCTTTGTACGGACAAAAAAGTGGTGCTATGGTAAAAATGAGTATCAATCGAAAGCACTCGTTTACCCAGACACAGTCCTGCAGGAAAATTCCACTTTTTCCCCATAGGAAAGTTTTTACGGGAAAATCAAAATTTTGGGTCAATGGGGGGTCCCCCCCGATTTCGTTCAAAATCGGCACACAGGTGCCCCACCACCAGCCGAGAAACTTTCCCCAAAACGGTCCCCGTTGCATTGACGTTTAAGGCCCTTAAAGCCCCGTAAACTCGTAAAAAAATCCGTAAATTCGCCCTTGTACGGCCAAAAACGGGGCGCTAGGGTAAAAATGGGTATCAATCGAAAGCTCTCGTTTACCCAGACACAGTCCTGCAGGAAAAATCCACTTTTTCCCCATAGGAAAGTTTTTACGGGAAAATCAAAATTTCGGGTCAATGGGGGGTCCCCCCCGATTTCGTTCAAAATCGGCACACAGGTGCCCCACCACCAGCCGAGAAACTTTCCCCAAAACGGTCCCCGTTGCATTGACGTTAAAGGCCCGTAAAGCCCCCTAGACTCGTAAAATATCCGTAAAATCGCCTTTGTACGGACAAAAAAGTGGTGCTATGGTAAAAATGAGTATCAATCGAAAGCACTCGTTTACCCAGACACAGTCCTGCAGGAAAATTCCACTTTTTTCCCATAGGAAAGTTTTTACGGGAAAATCAAAATTTTGGGTCAATGGGGGGTCCCCCCCGATTTCGTTCAAAATCGGCACACAGGTGCCCCACCACCAGCCGAGAAACTTTCCCCAAAACGGTCCCCGTTGCATTGACGTTTAAGGCCCTTAAAGCCCCGTAAACTCGTAAAAAATCCGTAAATTCGCCCTTGTACGGCCAAAAACGGGGCGCTAGGGTAAAAATGGGTATCAATCGAAAGCTCTCGTTTACCCAGGCACAGTCCTGCAGGAAAATTCCACTTTTTCCCCATAGGAAAGTTTTTACAGGAAAATCAAAATTTCGGGTCAATGGGGGGTCCCCCCCGATTTCGTTCAAAATCGGCACACAGGTGCCCCACCACCAGCCGAGAAACTTTCCCAAAAAAACGGTCCCCGTTGCATTGACGTTTAAGGCCCTTAAAGCCCCGTAAACTCGTAAAAAAATCCGTAAATTCGCCCTTGTACGGCCAAAAACGGGGCGCTAGGGTAAAAATGGGTATCAATCGAAAGCTCTCGTTTACCCAGACACAGTCCTGCAGGAAAAATCCACTTTTTCCCCATAGGAAAGTTTTTACGGGAAAATCAAAATTTCGGGTCAATGGGGGGTCCCCCCCGATTTCGTTCAAAATCGGCACACAGCTGCCCCACCACCAGCCGAGAAACTTTCCCCAAAACGGTCCCCGTTGCATTGACGTTTAAGGCCCTTAAAGCCCCGTAAACTCGTAAAAAATCCGTAAATTCGCCCTTGTACGGCCAAAAACGGGGCGCTAGGGTAAAAATGGGTATCAATCGAAAGCTCTCGTTTACCCAGGCACAGTCCTGCAGGAAAATTCCACTTTTTCCCCATAGGAAAGTTTTTACAGGAAAATCAAAATTTCGGGTCAATGGGGGGTCCCCCCCGATTTCGTTCGAAATCGGCACACAGGTGCCCCACCACCAGCCGAGAAACTTTCCCCAAAACGGTCCCCGTTGCATTGACGTTTAAGGCCCGTAAAGCCCCCTAGACTCGTAAAATATCCGTAAAATCGCCTTTGTACGGACAAAAAAGTGGTGCTATGGTAAAAATGAGTATCAATCGAAAGCTCTCGTTTACCCAGACACAGTCCTGCAGGAAAATTCCACTTTTTTCCCATAGGAAAGTTTTTACGGGAAAATCAAAATTTTGGGTCAATGGGGGGTCCCCCCCGATTTCGTTCAAAATCGGCACACAGGTGCCCCACCACCAGCCGAGAAACTTTCCCCAAAACGGTCCCCGTTGCATTGACGTTTAAGGCCCTTAAAGCCCCGTAAACTCGTAAAAAATCCGTAAATTCGCCCTTGTACGGCCAAAAACGGGGCGCTAGGGTAAAAATGGGTATCAATCGAAAGCTCTCGTTTACCCAGACACAGTCCTGCAGGAAAATTCCACTTTTTCCCCATAGGAAAGTTTTTACGGGAAAATCAAAATTTCGGGTCAATGGGGGGTCCCCCCCGATTTCGTTCAAAATCGGCACACAGGTGCCCCACCACCAGCCGAGAAACTTTCCCCAAAACGGTCCCCGTTGCATTGACGTTTAAGGCCCTTAAAGCCCCGTAAACTCGTAAAAAATCCGTAAATTCGCCCTTGTACGGCCAAAAACGGGGCGCTAGGGTAAAAATGGGTATCAATCGAAAGCTCTCGTTTACCCAGACACAGTCCTGCAGGAAAATTCCACTTTTTCCCCATAGGAAAGTTTTTACGGGAAAATCAAAATTTCGGGTCAATGGGGGGTCCCCCCCGATTTCGTTCAAAATCGGCACACAGGTGCCCCACCACCAGCCGAGAAACTTTCCCCAAAACGGTCCCCGTTGCATTGACGTTTAAGGCCCTTAAAGCCCCGTAAACTCGTAAAAAATCCGTAAATTCGCCCTTGTACGGCCAAAAACGGGGCGCTAGGGTAAAAATGGGTATCAATCGAAAGCTCTCGTTTACCCAGGCACAGTCCTGCAGGAAAATTCCACTTTTTTCCCATAGGAAAGTTTTTACGGGAAAATCAAAATTTCGGGTCAATGGGGGGTCCCCCCCGATTTCGTTCAAAATCGGCACACAGGTGCCCCACCACCAGCCGAGAAACTTTCCCCAAAACGGTCCCCGTTGCATTGACGTTTAAGGCCCTTAAAGCCCCGTAAACTCGTAAAAAATCCGTAAATTCGCCCTTGTACGGCCAAAAACGGGGCGCTAGGGTAAAAAAAGGGTATCAATCGAAAGCTCTCGTTTACCCAGACACAGTCCTGCAGGAAAATTCCACTTTTTCCCCATAGGAAAGTTTTTACGGGAAAATCAAAATTTCGGGTCAATGGGGGGTCCCCCCCGATTTCGTTCAAAATCGGCACACAGGTGCCCCACCACCAGCCGAGAAACTTTCCCAAAAACGGTCCCCGTTGCATTGACGTTTAAGGCCCTTAAAGCCCCGTAAACTCGTAAAAAATCCGTAAATTCGCCCTTGTACGGCCAAAAACGGGGCGCTAGGGTAAAAATGGGTATCAATCGAAAGCTCTCGTTTACCCAGACACAGTCCTGCAGGAAAATTCCACTTTTTCCCCATAGGAAAGTTTTTACGGGAAAATCAAAATTTCGGGTCAATGGGGGTCCCCCCCGATTTCGTTCAAAATCGGCACACAGGTGCCCCACCACCAGCCGAGAAACTTTCCCCAAAACGGTCCCCGTTGCATTGACGTTTAAGGCCCTTAAAGCCCCGTAAACTCGTAAAAAATCCGTAAATTCGCCCTTGTACGGCCAAAAACGGGGCGCTAGGGTAAAAATGGGTATCAATCGAAAGCTCTCGTTTACCCAGACACAGTCCTGCAGGAAAATTCCACTTTTTCCCCATAGGAAAGTTTTTACGGGAAAATCAAAATTTCGGGTCAATGGGGGGTCCCCCCCGATTTCGTTCAAAATCGGCACACAGGTGCCCCACCACCAGCCGAGAAACTTTCCCCAAAACGGTCCCCGTTGCATTGACGTTTAAGGCCCTTAAAGCCCCGTAAACTCG